TTTTTTTTTTTTTTTTTTTTTATATATCAAATTTTTAATTATATACATTATATTATAATTTAGATTTATGTTATAAATTAGAATTTAATATCTCATAGTTAGAATTTAGAAATTGTTAAATTATAAATTATAGCTAATTATCTTATAGAATTTTATTATTATTATGTTAAAATTCATTAAATATTATGTTATATAACATAATACTAATTATCTCTAATAAAATACTAATGAGTGATGCTATTAAAAATTATAGTTCTCTTTTTTTCTTAAATCCGCTCCTTTTCAACTCGGTAATAAAATTTAAAATACAAAATAATATTTTGACTTAAATTTGAAATTCATAAATACCAATTTAAATAACAAATTGAACGAAAAATATCAGATTTTGTTAGAGTAATTCATTGAGACCGATTAATTAAATATGATTTGACCGAATTTTGTGACAAGAGATTGTTTGACACTTTTCTCAGAGTTATATGATTCGTGTGAATATTATAGTAGGAAAAGCGTTCTAACAAAATAGTAATAAATTCTAATTTATAATAGTAATAATCTATACCATAATAATTTCTAACTTCTAACATATTAGTAATAAATTCTAAGATAATCAATTCTAATATATAACATAATAATTTATACTAATATATTTTTTTCAAACAAGTATCATTTCTGATTTATAATAATATAACTTATACTAATTATACTAATATCATTTTTTTAACTGTATATGTTGTTAGTTCATTTTATCTTCAACAAGTGCATAACAAACATAACCTTAAATTAGGGTTTAGGGTTTAGGGGTTTAGGGTTTAGGGTTTAGGGTTTAGGGGTTTAGGGGTTAAGGTTGAGGGTTTAGTGGTTAGGGTTTAGGGTATATTATGTTTGTGATTGTCATTATGTTAGAAATTGTTGTATTATAGATTAGAATTGATTGTCTTATGAATTAGAATTTATTGCTATTTTGTTAGAGGTTAGAAATTATTGTATTATAGATTAAAACTGATTATGTTATAAATTATAATTTATTACTATTATGTTCGAAGTTGGATATTATTATGGTATGATTTAGATTTGATAGCCTTATGAAATAATATTTAGTACTACTATGTTAGAAGTTAGAAATTATTATGGTATAGATTATTACTATTATAAATTAGAATTTATTACTATTTTGTTAGAACGTTTTTCCTACTATAATATTCAAACGAATCATATAACTCTGAGAAAAGTGTCAAACAATCTCTTGTAATAAAATTCGGGCAAATCATACTGAATTAATCGGTTTCAATGAATTGCTCTAACAGAATCCGATTTTTTTTTGTTCAATTTGGTATTTAAATTGGTATTTATGAATTTCAAATTTAAGTCAAAATTTTATTTTGTATTTTAAAATTTATTACCGAGTTGAAAAGGAGCGGATTTAAGAAAAAAAGAGAACTACAATTTTTAATAGCATCACTCATTAGTATTTTATTAGAGATAATT